CCCCAAAACCCCAAAACCCCAAAACCCCAAAACCCCAGATGGCTAAATTTGGATGGAATTAACTCTATAATAATTTAAAAACTTCATGAGCCAATTTAGTATACAAAACAAAGCTGAAGCTTTCCTTAACAACAAGCAATACAACAAAGGTAAGCTCCCAGTTTGTTTACGGCTAGCGAAGGAAGGCTAGACTAGCTGGCCCAGACTTCGACCCAGCCCTGAAACCTAGATGTTTAGGTGGATACTTCTGATTGTTGGGTAATGCTAACCCTCTGTTTAGTTCCGAAATCCCACCTCTTACAGAGACACTTTAGTGAGGATACGGATATTGACAAGAGTCTTCTTGAAGAACATCCTGAAGGGAGACATAGCCTTATTACTAGATATTCGCATGTTACCCTAGCTGGCCAGCCAGCTCTCATGAACAAGGGAAAGGTGAAGCAGGCAGATGCTGATAAATTACATGACGATTTAGAAATGATATACATTAGGAGAAGGGTGGGTTAACTTTTTCCCTAGTCAAGATAGCATTTATCTCACTTTTTATAAGATTTTCTTGCTTCATTACTTCCATTTTTCTGTAATTTTACTGGTGACTAGAACATAGAAAAGTTGGGAAATCAGCTTGTGACGACTGGAATTGTCGTTTAAGAGCTTTTAGCTTTTCTGGTTGGTGAAAGACTCATCCTTGCTATAGAGGTCATTAAGAATCCAAGAGCTATCCTCAGCCAAGGTTCTAAGAAAGATAGAGCCAACCACTATCTCTAGAGATTATACAATAAGGGATGATATCAAGTTTTTGCTGAAAACTCTGAGGGATTCAGGTGGGTAGAAGTTTTTACAAACTTTGAGCAGCTCTGATGTTACTTCAAAAACATTTAGGCATAATTTTAGCCATGTTTAATGCGAGGAAGCTTATGGGATGTTATTAGCAGTGTTCTATTCACCCTAGCGGACTTTAGAGGAGAAATCTATAGCATTAGGCACTTGTTTAGCTTGGTTGGTCGATTTTACATCAATTCTCCCAATAAGAAATATTGAGCGACTTAAGGGACTTTGGAAATATCGAAAAATTGGATAGAAATTAGTTCTGAGTTCTTCTTATTGATGTCGACTTTCTTTTTCTGATATAGATGCACCATTTACGGTGATGTTTGGCCTTATTGGACATCTTTTAGTCGCGAGCTGTGTTTTTCAGCACAATTTCGACAGTTTCATACTCTCAAACTCAAAACTTTGATTAGGGTTAAGTTTTGAAACTAAAATTGTTGCTAAAAGGCAGATAAGAGGCTGGTTATACTCTGAATGTCTTTATTGTATCATCAAGCATTGGTTCATGATTCTGAAATGAGTTTAGAAAGATTTTAGAAATAAACATATCCTTAAACCTCCTTCCTTTCATTTCATAACATTGTTTTAGAGCTTGATGCGACTCCTGGAAAACACTGATTTATAGACCTCCTTCATGAAGAAGTGAGTGAGGAAGAGACTCCCTTCGAAGGCATTAATGGTAACGATTTCTGTGTTATCTCTCTAGGTTATAACTTGACCATCAACAACCTTGAGCCTGTATAAGGATTAAAACTTGGTGAATTTATGGAGAAGTGATCACTAATACTCGTATTCAGAAGGAGTATCACTCACTTCCTTGTATAATAATTCTTATTAAAAAATTAACCTAGTTGTTTTCAAACATCAGCTTAGTTCATCTCCATCACTCTCTAAGAAGGTCTGTTCGGCTATGGCAGGTCATACGCGACTCTTAGGTCTGTTACCTCCTAGTGTGCATAAGGTTTATTACCAAGAGGTTTGAACTGAGATCTGGCGGTGACTAGCATCCATAATTAGTGAGTAATTGCTACCCTACTAGTTTGAATCATTGATCGTAGTTTGTAAAGTAAATTCTGGCCAAAATTGCTGTTAATCTACCATCTTTGGATTGTTAAAAATTATCGAATTTCTTAAGAATTTTCAGAAATTAACTAAGAAAGCTTAGTTTAAAACTGAAATTTTGTGGGAATTATCATAATCGAATAAATCGTTTGTAGCTTTACCGTATTTTACAACAAAAATAACTCTTTTAGCCTAGCAACTAGAGTCAGCCAGGTTGTCAGCCTCTTCTTTTTAAGAATCAAGCCTTAACTATCCGAGTACAGTAGGAGAAAGTTGATCTGTGAAGCTAAGCTTGGTTGAGAAATAAGTAAAAAATCTAGCTTAAAGTATGAAAGATGTCCAAATCAGTACAGGTTTTCTCAAGATAGGGAGGTATTGGGATCAGCATTGTTATCCAAATGTTTGCTAAGATAGAAAATCCCCTTCCCAATTGGCGCTAGCATTACAATTGCTTAAATTTTGGAAGTCTATATGCATGGCTTTAAGCAGCCTTGCTAAAATATCACCACTTAAGGATCAAAAGTTTTGATTAATTTTGAACATTTGAGTGATTCTCTGAAAAATTATATAAATGGTGTTAACCTAATAATTCAAGGTATATCTCTGATCATACCTTGTCAGGAACTCCAGTTTGGCAGGTTTTTATAACTTCTGAATATTACATCGAAATTTAAACTTGTAGTTATTAAATGTAAGATTTACACCGTTTTAGAGTAAATGAAACCCTCTTGAAGCCTCAGGCAGACTAATTTTAAGAGAGATTCCTTGACCATTTTAGTTGCATATTTTTGAAGGAAATACTTGGACCAGGTAGAGCTGATAATTTAGCATCAAACATATTCATATTAGGACCTAGGTTTGATTATAACACTCCAGGATACACCTCTCGCCTTCTATTAAGAATCATGGTTTTGAGCCACTCATAGAGGTAGATAGGCAAGCTGGCAGGGACGGAAGAAATTATTTCCAGTCAACCCTTCTGGCTATCCACAACTAGCCTGAACATTAAAACAGAGCAATCTCGATATCTAAGTGGGATTTTTAGGATCATATCTGCAATCTGGCAGTGACCAGGGTGCCACCCATTGAAGTACTGTTACACATAATATTTGTTAAGCCTTAAAAGTTTAAATGTTAGTTTAGAGGTGTTCCAAGGCTTCCTAGCCAGCCATATTTCACAAATAGAGATGGTGGATATTCAATAGCTTGATTTGTGTGAGGGGTTTTGGGGTTTTGGGGTTTTGGGG